GGGGTCCAGTCCCTTTGCAGCCCAGACCGATGAGGCATCTAGCAGCGATATACCTGTCTGCTCTGGTTGGTAATGCAGCCTATCACAGTTGGGGGCCCAAACCTTCCGAGGATGACCCTCGTGGAGGGCCAGTCGGGGCTCTTTTGAGCCGTGCTATTGGCCGCCAGCGCTGGCCTCGGTTCTCGGAGCTAGTGTGTATCCCCGCGGCTGCCTAGGAAGACTCTGGTTTCACCAACCCTCACATTCTCTCCCACCGACGCGCGGAGGAATAAAGCGGGTCGAATGACGGGAGGATGCCGTACAAAGGATTGCACCACTTCAGATCACAGGCAGCAGAAAACACGTTGGGCCATTTATCTTGGGTTAGCCCCTGCTCCCGCCTCTGAGAACCAGAAAAGCAGGTGAACTATTTCTCTCGCTTGCTTTTTTTTTTTAATTGGAAGAGAAATCCCATTAGAGGGGAAGAAAAGGTTCAGAACCGCTTCCTCCTTAGAACCTGAAGTGGTACAGTCCAGAGTTCGTACCACTTCGAGGGTTCTGCGTTATTCTGCAACCGGTGCGGTCCCAGACTGGCGCTTTCCTATCCTATCAATTCTCGCCTTGTCGCCATTTATGGAAAAGAGGGGAGGCGAGGGGATGCCGCTGAAATAAAACTCCAAGGGCACCCCGCGCCTTTCCTCCGGAGGATTCTCGTCCCCGACCCTGACAAATGAATGGCCCCACCGCTCCCCCCCTAGTCTGTTCGCTCCTCCCTCGCGCCCCCTTTTCTCTTGAAGTCCCCCCGGCAGAGTTGCATGAGGCTTCCCGAAGGGGCCGGGGCTACCGCGCCAGAGTGACTGATTGGAGGAGCGGTCCGAGCGCGAAGGGGTGGCCGGAGCTGAGCCCAGAGCGCCTTTGCCTTGCATCAGCCTTATCGGGTGGGAGGGCGCCGCCGCCGCTTCTGGCCGCCTCGCTTGCACTCCGGCGCGTGAGCCAGCGGGCTCGTCTTGCATAAAAGGCGCTCCGTGCTCCGCGGGCACACGGCTGCTGGGAACAGCTGACCTTTCTTTCTGGCCCTGAGAGGACCCCGACCGGGGCAGGGGCATTTATAAGACTTCTCGAGCGGACCTGCCAGCGCCTTTTGGTCTGACCACAGCTTGGTCTGTGCGCCTTTTCTGAGTTGGGTTGGATAGCGGCTCCCGCCACCCGAACCGACCGGCATGGAGAAGCCAGCTGAGAGCCTGAATGGCTATCTGGAGCCGACGGTGCTAACCGGCTTCGAGGCCGGAGAGGAGGGCGTAAAGCGGCCTCGGCTGAAGCTCTTCCAGCTGCGGGGCTTCGGGCGGTTCCTGAGGAAAAACTGCATCGTGATCTTGACGGTAACCGGCGTGCTGGTTGGGGTGGCCATGGGCGCCCTGATGAGGCAAATGCCGCTCACCCGGGCTCAAATCACCTACCTGGCCTTTCCGGGAGAGATGCTGCTCCGTATGCTGAAGATGATCATCCTGCCCTTGGTGATATGCAGCCTGGTCTCCGGAGCAGCCAGCCTGGACACTCGGTCACTGGGCAAGCTGGGCGGCATCGCCGTCGCCTACTTCTTGGTCACCACTTTGATCGCCTCGGCGCTCGCCGTTGCCTTGGCCTTCATCATCAAACCCGGCGTCGGCGCCGGGGAGCTCAATAGCAAAGACTTGGGCTTGGATGGGGCCATGCCCACCAATAAGGAAACCGTGGACTCTTTTCTGGACCTAGCAAGGTAAGGAATTCGGGGGGGCTTCCTTCCTGAGCTCTAGTCAAGAGGCAGACTTGAAGGAGTCAGGGCTGAGCGTGTGATGACTCTTGGCCTGCTCCCTTTGTGGGAGGCAAGGCAGGCTGCTGCCCTCCTCCTTTATTTTTGGAAATACAGCTCTCCTCATCTTAATATTGATTACGTGTGTCGGAATGATGGGAGTTATGGTCCAAAATGCCTGGAGGATACTAGGATATAGAGCCTACTAACCCTGGACTGTGGGGAAAATAAGAAATAGCAGGGACTCATCATGTACTTTGTCCTCATCCTTTGCTTATATGACTGGTTTGCTAGAAGTTAGTATGTGTTCCATCTTTGCTGTGCAAAGAACTTGAAGCTGGTGAAGTACTGGCAAAAGATGAGTGCTAATTAATGGAAAACCTCCTGAATAAGGATTTGTGAATATGATTCCTGAAAGGTGTCCAGTATAAGATCAGAAAATTAAAATGCCTAATAACATGCAGGTTTGGGCTCTTCAAGGTTTACTTAACAGGTGCATTGTGGTATAAAATTTAAAGAACTGGAAGCCATTTCATCAGATGTAGAAGGTATGTTTTCAATTTACAGGAAATTGGGAAAAGAGAAACGTAAACAGAGGGCCCTCAAAGCCCAAGAATATATCTGATCCAGTCTGTAACATTTCTGTGCAGAGTCTAAATATGTGTAAGATAAAGCACCTACATGTGAATTAATTTAGGCTTTTGTAGAATCTTAGGCTGTATCTTAGAAAACTCATATAATCTGTTAAAAGCTATGCCACAATATTAATTTTTATTTTTTTGTTGTTGAGAAAAGTCTTCAGTTTATTTCTGCAAAATTGTGCTCATATGCTCTTCTTACATGGTCTCCCATCCAGGTTATTCATCAGAGTTGCTTAGTAGATTTTATGGGTTGCTTATCTCATTGAATTGCTTAGAGGATGTAGGGTTGGGGTGGGCAGAAGAAACATCTAGATCTAGTGGAGGATCCCTTGCCAGTTTGATCTGTTGGAATTTCTTATTCCCAATCAATTAACAAAAAGACTGCAACTGTGACTCTACAACAAAAAATGTGGAAAGAGTATGAGCACAGCTCACCTTTTGTACACAAAACGGCTCAGAATCTGCTTATTCGGAGTGTGTGGCTTTTGCACTGAGGTTAGCTGAATATACCTTGGGATTCTAATGGAAAATAACAATTTTCTGGCCTGGGATAAACCTTCTTTGTTGTAAGGCACTTAGGGAATAACTATGCCAACAAACAATACTTATTTGTACATTGATGAAGAAATGCTCAGTGTATCAAAATGATTAAAATTAAATGGTTAAAACTAAAGTGCATTGTGGTATAAAGGTTAAAGACCAACATGCCTATTTTACTCTCTATAACTTTTGAATTTTTTGAAGCACAAGTTACTTTTATCCCATTTCCTCATCAATGTATGGTTCTTTGCATGAAAATCAAACTTAAAAAACACATAGGCCTTTTACATGCAGTTTCTCTGGTGTACATATTTTTCAGCACATTTTTTTATGGGAGAATTGTTCTGCAAAATTCAGAATAGTGAAAATGGAAAGATAACTAATCAACACAATGTTAAGCAGGATTTTAAACTTTTGGTATTCCAGAGTACCTAATTGGGAGATTGGCATGTGCTCTGGCATTCACAGGAGCGACTTTGCCAACTTCTGTTCTAGTCAATAAGTAAAAAAATTCCCAGCATAAATCTTAAATCTAAACCAAAGTATCCAAAAGTGATGTAATCATTTTTGCTCAAGGGCCAGTTTTTCACACAGCTCTTCATTTAATTTAATATAGCCCATTTCCTGTGGTTTTATAAGTAGGGTTATGTTTCAGAGTTCTTAGGGCTCTGGAGTTATTGTAGATCATATCGGTAATCTTTTTCACACCAATAAAGAGCTAAGGGTCACATATCTGATTATAATTATGATAAGACTGAAACATTTTATTTTCAGCAAATGCTCAGTTCCAATGTGAATAAGGAGTAAATGTTGACTGACATGTTGCCTGCCTGATTTTTTGTGATATAAAATTGGTGCAAGAGTTGAAAGCCCCTGATAATTCGGGAAAACTGGGAACTCTATCAGTAGCAACTGGATAGCTCCACTAACAGCTGTCTTGCTGGTCCTTCTCTCAGGACAAATCAGTCACTAAACAAAATGCCTGATGTATTATCTCTTTGCTCAGAATTTACTTGCCCTTGTTTCATTAACTGCTGCCGAAAAGGGAGGAAAGTTGCTGACATTCCCCAAATTTTAGCTCATTACATTATCCTGTGGGAGAGAAGAAAGATTGAGATGGGGCTTCTCCCTTCGGAGGCAGGTATGTCATCTCCTATAGTGTCAAGTTCCAATCTTATTAGAACTCTTGTTTGTGCCAGCATCCCCTAGCTATGAATTGGGGCAAGGTTACAATATCATATCAAAGTTAAAAATTGTACTCCAAACACCTGGGTAAACAAACTATCTTCACAGCTGTGGAAGGTCAGTTGGTAGCATGCCAGACATACCAGTAGAGGCAAGGTGTTCCACACCATGGAGGCCACTACACAGTAGAATTCCCTTTGGGTCCATGCCATTTTGACTTATAGGATAGGGACTCTAAATATCCTCCCCCTACACCCTTGTATAGGCCAGAGAGATTCCTCTTAGAAGAGATAGTTGCTAAGGGTTCTGAAGCTAAGCCATATATAGCTTTGTTAAAAAAAAAACAGCACTTCAAACTGGACTCAGAAACCTGTTGGTAATCAAGACAATGGCTTGAGAATTGGTGTAACATTGCAGTAACAGCTCTTTCCTGCTGACATCCTGGCTACTCAATTTTGTACCAATTACAGTTTTCAGGTCACTTTCAAAGGCATCCCCATGTAGAGCACATTATAGTTAAGTGCATGGTGATGAGGGAATGAATCACTGCCACCAGATATCAATCCAGGTGGGGTTACATCTGATAGTACATTTAGTTTAGTTTTTTATACTAAAGGAAATTAATGATTTTCAAGTTTCTATCCATCAGAATAAGCCCTTAATTAACTACCACAATTAACTTGGCGAGAAGAATGTTCTTCAAGTAAAAGGTTCTGTGAGTATGTGTGTATCAGTATTTGAGGGATCTTTAAAATTGTATGATTCATATTCATAATACAGATATGCTAGCCAATTAGTTTGCAACTTATTGTGAAGGTTTCCCATAACCAGTTCAAGTCAATCAGTTGTTTTTAGTTAAAACACAGCTTGCAAAATGTAATTATTTTCAACATAATAATTCTGTCCTATGGAAAAATGTTATGACGGGCCTTTGTATGGATACATCCTTGGTGCATGATGTAGCCTAGTGTCAGCTTTATTCAAGTGGGACCAGAAATCTCTTAATAGATTAGTACAGTTTTGAATATCTAATATTTCAAACATGAATAACAACAACAACAACGCTTATGGAATATCTCTTCCTCCAGCTGATGTTCTTCTGTTGTATTGGTCATGTTAGCTAGGAATTGTGGAATACCTCTGTACGCTCCAGTTTGGGGATGGGAGGTTTGAACTGCTTTGTGTTTATAGACTTTCATTTTGTGTATAGTATTCATAGTCAGATATTGCACTAGTCTTTAAAAGTTTAAGTTATCTAAACATTAGAGTGTTAATAATCTCCAATCAACACTGTATAAAAATCTCTGTGCCCAAATAATATAATGTACTACTGGTGTTTTATAATAATAGAATAAAACAATATAGAGGGGAAAAAAGATTCCACTAGTGTATAAGAAAAATAGTTAGGGTTGTCTTGGTGCTGAAGTGGACATGTGGTATGTTATCTGTTTAACAAATAACTTTAAGAGAAATCAATGGTTTTTTAATTGAGAAAACAAATTGGAGGACCAAAAACCTTGGGTTGTTTAATTGTTTCTGTCCCCATAAGCAAAGAATGATCCTTGTGTGAAAACTAACTAAAATTCTTTTGTTAATGGTACAACAAATGCGGGCAAATAAATGTGAGACATGGGGAGCTTTGCTGTTCTGTATTCACACAAGGCTGAAGGAGATTAAGAAGCATTTCCTTGTATCTAGATCCCTGGATGTTAGTTCAAGATGGTACAGAGATACTTTTCTTCAGTCAATCATCCTTATATTTTCAGCAAATATGGTCTTAAGATTAATGTTCCTTATATAGTTTTATGTACAATAATTTGGCTTCATTAAAAAATTAACTAATACATTTCTTAAATAAAAAGAAATCAACTTATGAATGGGACACTTTATTACAAGTTTGCTTAGGATATTGTGGGAAACTGAAATCCAAAGATGTTATGTTTTCTAGGAATACCAGGAATATCAGGTCTAATTGAAATTGTCTGGGATAAAAATGAAGCCTACAAGAAAGCATTGTTTTTTAGAAAATCTAAATTATTTCCCTTCATTTTCATACAGGTAAAAACAACAGAAAAGCTCGAAACTGCTGATAAATGCAGTTTTCTAGACAGTTGTGGACTTTAGCATCTCCCAATGGCTGTGGGAAAGTTCATATAGTGTGAATTGAATATAGAACCAGAGACCAGACAGCTTAACTGTGCTTCAGATAATGGGCCCTCTTTTTGTTTCACTAATCTTTCTGGTTCCCTTTATCCTGAGCTCAATGGGCCTGAAAGCTCCTATTCCCAGCAGTGTTTATAGAGTTAGCTTCTAACCTGTGATACATTTTTTTAAAGTTCTCGATAACAGATTAGAGCTGTTTATTCTGCTGGTGCATTTTTTGTGATGCTTGGGATGCGTGGGGCTGATCTGAAGTTATATGTTGGGGTAGGACATTTGCAGGATTCAGCTTGCTTTTGGAGTGAGCGAATGGCAGTCTTTTTATCCTTTCCGGGAGAAAGTTTTCTGTATGTACCCTTCTATCACAGCAAATCGGATTTTTATATTTGGAAGTTGATGGGAAACTGGTCTGAGTTAATTCCCTCTGTTGGATTTTATTCTCCCTCTTCCAGTATTTTCTACTATGTTATGCTGTGGTCTTCTATGAAGTATTTCTGTAGTGTAACATTTTGCCATTATGGACATGTTCAAGGGCCTTCCCTAATGCTGCTTGACTCCTTGGTTGACATGACTTGGATAGATTAGCTGTATTCATACAATATTCTTAATTTAGTTACTAAATCAACCCATTATCTGGCTTCACTCAATGCACTGACTGGGGAATTAACCAAACAAGCTGGATTTACATGACTCACTAGGGCATAAAAAAACTTGCCAAGGGTAACACTAACCAGACTTATGCAAATGCATCTGCTGGATCTTTACCTGACCAGGTTAGGTAAACTGTGTGAACCCAGCCAATGTGTGATTCTCTTTTGGCAGTTTTGTTGCATCATTACTTCACTTCTTGGAGATTTGAGAGAGTTAATTTGGTGATCTTAGAAGATAGGGACATAGACAATATGAAACCAGAGAGAAGAACTCCATGCTGCACATTTATATATCCTTTGCTGCTGAAATGCATTATAGCAACTTCTTTTCTTCATCCATAGCGCATACATGCACGTAGGGCATTGTCCTAGAAAAAAAATGGCATATACTGCAGAAATCATCCAAAAGAATCATTAGGTACTTGTACCAATGAATAAACTAATGTCATTATATAGGATCCCCAAATCCATCCAAGTATGGTTTAACCACCCTAATTGGAAACCAGCTAATTAACATCAACTCATTGATCTCTCAGTTTCAACAAAGGTTTTTCTTCAGAGCCAAATACAATAGTATGCCTTCAGCGCTTCTATATAGGAGATTTAATAAAATTCCTACAGCTAGTCAAACCTGTCCTTGTAGTGATGGTTCAATTGAATCCATCTTCCATGTGCTGTTACATTGCTCATTTGATAGTGATACCCAAAGAAGGCTTATTTTCCCTTTGTTGTTACAGACTCCAGGCCAGTCTGAGGAATTTTATGTTAATTTAGAGAAGACTTATACATAATGTAGCAAAGTTCTAAGCAGCAGCTGTGAATGTGTGTGGACAACTGATTTCTGGTCTACATGAGCAATATCTTTGTATCTGTTCCATTAATCCTTGGTTTTGTATGAATAAATTACTAGCTGTAACTAATTATCAATATTTTAGATTATTAGACTTTATAGTATGCTTTATTTTTATTTTGTTAATTCACTGCACCATAGATTCAACATCTAGCTTTAGACTTTAATTATATATATTTTGTGATTTCTTATCTTTTTCTTAGCTAATTTTAATTTTAGTTTTTAATCTTAGTCTTAACAAAGTGCATTACAGGCAGTCCTTGACTTACACCCATTTGTTCAGCAACCATTTGAAGTTATGACAGCGCTGAACAAAGGGACTTTTGACTGGTGCCCGAAGTTAGGGCCGTTGCAGTGCCCCCACGGTCACATGATCAAAATTCGGATGCTTGGCAGCCCATCTGCACTTACGACCACAGGGGTGCTTCAGCTCCCCCCACCTATCTCCCCCCACCTATGCCCTTTTGGGCCCCTGCACTCCACGTCCCCTGCTGCCCTAGCTGACTTTCTCCCTCTTCTTGCTCCCATTGCTGACCAAGCATGCCTGGTCTGGTCCTTCACTAGGCAGCTGCTGGCTGCACGAGGCTTTCTTCCCAAGGTCGTGCATGGCAGTTTCCTCGTGCGACCTGGGGAAGATAGCCTGACCTGGCCAGCTGCTGCCTCAGAAGGGCCAGGGTGGGCACGCCTCATCAGCAGCAGGAGCAAGAAGACGGCGAAGGTTAGCTGGGGTGGCAGAGTGCAGGGTGGCAGGGGGCTCGAAGTGCAGGGTGGTGAGAACAACTGTAGCTGGGATCGGGCTGGGGCAGCTGGGGCTTCCCAGGGCTCAGAGTTTTGGGCCATGCTGCTGGGCCATGCTGGGGCTGGGCTTTGCATGGCACAAAGGTGCTTCCTGGCATGCTGCAGCTCTGGGGCTGCAAAAAAATTGCAGCCCCAGGGCTCTGGCATGCCAAGAAGCCCTCGAGTTGCAGCATATTCTTTCCCCAGCCTTCCTGAGCTCATGCTACACCTCAGCACCCCCCCCAACTCATGTGCAGTCTGTGCCAACCCTCCCAGGCCTCCCCCACCCCCTGCAGCACCCCTTTGCTCCTTACCTATGACTCCCACCTCTTCCCACTTAACGACCTGTGTATCTTGGGACTGCCTGGATTGCCATCACTAAGCAATGTGGTCACATGATGTCACGCTTTACGATCGCATTGCTTAGCCATGGAAATTCTGGTCTCAGTTGTGGTCGTAAGTCAAGGACTACCTTTATTTTATTTATACTTAAGTATGCTATTTCTTTATAGCTGTATCTTCTTCTGCCTTGTTTCAAGCTGGTCTTTGACTGAAATAAAGTTATCTATCTATTTGAAATTATATATACTTTTTTGTTTAATAGGACTTTTCTTGATATTATACCTCTATGAATGCTTATACATTTGATATTTGATTTCCATACCGTTACTGATTACGGATTAGAAATGTATTTAATGTACATAACAATAGTTAAGTAGTTGCTTCTTTAGAAAATCAGTTCCCTTCTGAAACAGAGAAGCAGGAATGCTCACTAAAAGGTTGTTGAGCACTTGCCATTTTTGCACATTCCCATTGGATGGACCCCTGGCTGGCAATGTGGGAGGACAGACCTCAGCATAGGCTTCACTCACACAGTGGAGCAAAGCTGCCATGGGGGGTATAGGGGTGAGACTGCTAGCTGTGTAGAAGTGTCTTTAAGGCGGTATCTAAAAATATTTGTTTCTCCATTTATGCATAAGTACACTGGCATGTTAAAAATAAAATAATATCAATGACAACATTTTGAAATTAAGATTCTTTTGCATTTTTAACTGGAATAATTTTCTTATTTACTCATTATTTTGGCAATCACTGGCCATGGATTGCACTTTCTGTAACATTGTACATTTTGTAGGAAGTGTCACATGACAGCTGAAGAAAACAGTTATTAATTAAATTGTTAATTATTTGTACGTTCTTTGAAATGTGCTGTTAAGGCAAGTATGCCTATTTAGGCCTAAAAATGCTGATGCAGAACAGTTCTGGGCCTTGTTAATGATGAACTAATGCTTTAATCCTAATACAGCCATTATTTTATTTATACTAATGTGCAAACAATTAAGTTTATAAACTGTTGTCAATTCCTAATTTTTGTTCTTTGTGTTTTTCTTTTTCTTTTTTTCAGAAATTTGTTTCCATCAAATCTCATTGTTGCAGCCTTTCGATCGGTAATTATATACACTTCTCTCTCTCTCTCTCTCTCTCTCTCTCTCTCTCTCAAAATTTGTTCTGGACTTTGAAATTTTGATCAAAATGAGTTTGATTTTCTATAATGCAATTCTTTGCAGGATATAGCAAAATACAGGTGGTACAAAAATGTATTTACAAGAGTCTATCTAGATTTATAAGAGTATCAACACAAACACCTGCTATGATGGAGTCCATAGCAATTTGGGTAACTAGGAAAGTCAAAATGCTGAAGAAGCTAACTAATGGAAGAATTTCTCCCTGTTTGCAATTTGGTGTGTGGATCCTTGATAAGAAGCTTTTGAATGTGCAGTAATCTGGCATTTTGACCTTTTCTGCCTCTGGCTGATTTTAGATTTCTGAAAATTAGTTTTCCCATTTTCTTTGGACAACTTTTCAACTATACAAGTAAATATGCAACCTTTACAGCCGGTAGTTCTCAGACACTCACTTGTTTGGCCAGAAAGTTTACTGCCCGTAGCCTCACAAGCTAAATATTATGCAGAGCTTTTTGAAATATGTTCTTTATAAGATTTTCCTGAAATTTATTTTAGAAAATAAAATCTAGTCCCATAATAAGGTACAATCCTTTGTAGCAAATATTATATTCAGCTGGGAGTCTAAAAGACCTAAATATGTGATTACTATGTTCAGTGGCAGCTATAAACTCCATTAGAAGTGCTGCAGTCTTCTTATGGATAACTACGGGGCAATCTTACATTTAATCTGCAATTTAACTGGCACTTGAATCTCAGCTGATCCCATTCCATTTTTGGTAATAGGAAATCCTCGTGTTCTATGATTAGCTGTATGAGCACCAATCCAAAGTGCCAAGAAGCGCTTTAAAAAGAAATCAGATATGCATTGCAGAGGACCTTTTGCTAGTGTTGCCCCATCTGGACGTGGTATCCTTTTACCGGCTGTTCTTTTGTTCCTAGCTTGGTGTTTAGATGTACGAGAGACAGCTCATGATGCCTGAATGCTTTTATTCTTCCTTCGCCCTACCAAAATGTTCCAGATATGCGGGAAGCACTTAACAGTTTATAGGTACAAGCATGTTTTTCATGCACAAGCAACATCATTGCATTTATTAGATTTTTTAAAAATATACAGACATGACAAAGTTGGACCTATAATTTTATCAATGAATGAAGGTGTGGTTCTCAGTGTTTTACATAAAAAAATCCAGAAATAAAATTTATAAGCCATATAGCTTTAATTTGTATATTTGTTTAAAAGTGTCACAAATATTAATAAAACCAATGTTTTCCATTTACAGTATGCCACTGATTATAAAGCCATAGTTAGAAATGCAACCACTGGAAATGTTACCATTGAAAAGGTAAGCAATGATTTTGTTAAAGTTATGTTGTCCTTCTGTATACACACTTTCACGTTTATCCTTTGTATCATCACAATTATTATTTAAGCGGCTTTATTGCCTTTATTTGTTTTTTTTTTCCTTCAGAATTAAATCCTGTTCTTTTCAAAGGAATTTGTTCCTAGGTAACTATTCCCAGGATTCTTCCCTCAGGGAATGCTGAGAAGCACCCCTGGAAAAAATTAAGCCCAGAAGGAAACCGTCTAGGAATGGGCTATGCATGATCCTCCAAATATTAGGGTACTTCATCTCCTATCAGCCCCAGCTAATAAAGCCAGTGGTGAGAGATGATGGGAGTTGCAGTCCCACAACATTGGGGAGACTGCACATTGCCAACCCTGTTCTAGACTGTAACTTCTGGAAAATTTTGTTTATTCTTGAGTATAACAAGAGCAGATTTCTGGTGATATATGTTTAATCAAAACATTGTTTTTCATCAACAGTACATCACAGATTATAAAGCAGTAATAAATGCCTCCCTTGGGAATGCCACTATTGAAAAAGTAAGGAAAGGTTTTTTTAATTAAATATTTTTGTCTGTGTATAAATGCTTGCTTTGGGATTAGACCTTTGTTCCATCTTCTAACTATGCATGAAGCAAAAGTAGCCATTTTGGCCTGGAGGGAAAACCAAAATCCACAACAGAAGCAGTATTTCTATAATATCACTTCAGGATTACACAATTCACATTATTTTAGTGCCCTCATGGAATATTAAGTAATAGACCAGGGGCTAAAAAAAAGTAGGAACAAATTACTGAGGCAACCTCTGTGCTGTGTGCCGAGATCATACATGCAGTCTTGAGTCATTGGATGCTTTCTTGTTTGTTATTTTACTGTTATTATTACATTTCTATCCTGCCTTGCCTCTCATGCTCAGGGAAGGAAGGTGAGACCTTCTGGTAATACATGGTAGTCTCATTCCTAGCAGGATGAGCCCCCTGGTGGTCAAATCATATTGTCTTCAGAGGCTTGTAGTTGCACAAAATCTCAATATATCCCAGTGGTACAGGCAGTCTCACTCATCCACCGCCTGATATCTGACCCATGAGGACAACTGTGAAATTTCCATTGATGGGAGGCTTCCATTTCAAGGCATTTGCCCTCTCTCAGACTGAGAACCCACAGAGAAAAACCTACCAGCCTAGGACATACAGTTCTACCTGGTCTGTTGCTAAATAATTGTGGTCAGTCTCTGCTTTTGTTGCTCTGTGCAACAAGAGTTGCAATGAAGGAAAGACATTATGGAAACAGTTAAAACAGTCCAGATCAGTGGATTTTTAGACCAGAATCAGATAGGTTTGGAGGCAGAAGTGCTGGTTGACCAGAAGTGCCATGATCTATACAACATGTTGAGAAGTTGGTGGAGCTCAGATGCTGACTGACCCAAACTTACCCTTAGAACCAGAATTATGTATGAACCAAAATGGTGCAAGGAGAAGAGAGAAAGCCTGTATCAGTGTCTGTAAATAAGTGCTATCTAATTAGGATTAGAAAAGTCCATTTATTTCCATGAGATTTGAGTTAAGTCACTTTATCAGAAGTCCTAAATCATCCTCAAGTATTCTCGTCTTATCTCATGTTTCCTCACTCCTCCTCTGTGTACCCAACATACTATATTACAGGTGAAGTCATAAGAACATACAGAAAATAGCATTTTTTTTTTGCAATTGGTATATAATTTAAGGGAAAAAAGAAATAATACTTTACTTTTCCTTTCCAAAACAATTTTATTTATTCTAAACAAACTCAGAATTTATTATCTTCTTCTTCTTCCTGCTTTCCCCAAATAACTTGAGCCTTTGAAAATGTTCATATATAACTTAAATGTACTTAAAAGCCTGTAGACCATCAAGAACAAACCTCATAGACTTCACTGAATTTAATGGAGATGTATTGTCATATTGGATTGCTTTTATGATTGTAGCCTTAGGGTCACGGATTGGCAAATGACCCCAAACACCATCCAAACCTGGCCCCTGAATATTAGTAAAATTAAAATAAGTTGCTTGGTTTTGAAGGGAACATTTACTTGAATAGTAAGACGCAAGGAGTTTCGTGGAGGAAAGTTTCTCATCCCCTCCTCCCCTTGCCAGTGCTTGTATTTTTGAAAAGTTTAATAGGGTTGAAGAGAACTCTTGAATAATGTGAGGCCTGTTGGGAGATGCTAAGTGGACTACCAGTATCCTATTCCTTATAGTGCCATAAAATTTGCTGCAGAGAAATAAGTCCTTGCTTCCTTTTCGCTTGCAGCTTCAGCATAGACTAGCTTCTGGCAGACAGGCCTTACTTGTCTCCCACTTGTGTCAAGGATGGGGAATCTCCTGCTGGGAGACCTAATCTCAGATGAGGTCTTGTTTTCTCTTCAGAGTCCCTCATTGACTTAAATTGCCAGCTGCCCCTTGTTTCCTTGAATGAGGTAGTATGGAATGGTCCTCCTGCCAGTTCCATCAGCGTGCATTCCCTTAGTGGGGAAAGTATACAGAAGGTTGAGCCCTCCCAGGAGACAGAAGCTACCCTCCACTTTCCCAGATCATGGAAGCTTTGAGAAGGGTCATACCAATTCATGCATATGCTGTACTTTCCTCACAGTAGGAAGTATGCAGTGGCCAAATCAGGAACTACTTCTTGTTTTATCCTGCACAGAGTACCAGGAAGCACTTTTGTGGAGGGTGCAGGCAGTCTCACTCATCCACTGCCCTGATATCTGACCCATGAGGACAACTGTGAAATTAGGCCTGCCTCCAGGTCTGGTTCCCTGCTCTTTACCTATGCTTTCAAAGGCCATTGTAGCTCTGACTTAAACAGCATGGTTCCCGCTTACTCACATTTTTTTGTCAAATCTTGCCTCAGAGAACCCCCACCAACATCTCTTCTTACAAAATCTTGGAGTTAGTAACTACAGAGCTGTGACGGTATATATTAATCAGGCCCCAAACCTCTAACACTACTTTGAAACAATTGTTCTCTTTGTTATTTTCTCTCATAAGACAGAAAATTATTTATTGTCCCCTTTGGATGTTTAACAATGTAGAATTCTCTCATTTTGGCACCTACCATTGCACTGGTGTATGAAGTTCTCTGGGAAGCTTAGAGACACAGCATGATATTGTTAGGCTGCCCTTGAGTCCTGGGTTGCTGTTGCTGCTTGTGAAGTTTTTCTTTCTAGTGTATACAGTATATGTTTGATTTGTAAAATCATCTCCTCTGAAGCTGTGGATACTGTATTTTGAACTTCACTGAAAGTGAGCAATGTCTCTTTCAATGATATTGAAGCCAGAGATGGGGGATTAGTTCTAGTCCTCTCCACCTGACCTAGTGTCATCATCTAAGCTTTGTCTCCTGGTGTCACCATTGGAGAAGAAGTAATAAGACCCCTTCCATTTCTACTTGGAGAATCTCTGTTTTTGCAGATTCTTGTCAGTAGTCATGCTAGGAACCTGATATTTTTATATCTTTGTTAGGAATATTAGCTTATGTTTGTATAACGTTGTACCACACCAGAGCTTATGTTCATCTTGCTAACATGGACAGAAAATTCCTGGTTTTTTTCCAGCACAGCAATGTGTCTCCATACGACTAAGTAGTCCTACAATCATAACTGAAAGTAATGCTCAGTCCAAACTCCAGAACCTATAGGATCCCTTGACTTATCTATGATGTGCCCATTCATTTTAATAAACTCTGTACAGGATAGCATTGTACATCACAGCTTGTACAAGTGGTGGCATTACAGCTCCAAAGAGTTCTGGAGGAAATGGATTATATGGACCCCTTTCAGTCAAGTTTCAGGCCTGGTTATGGAATGGAAACAGCATCGGTTGCACTTATGGATTATCTCTGGCGGGAGCGGGATGATGGAAGTGGGACCATCCCTGCTCTCCTTGATCTCTCAGCGGCTTTCGATACCGTCGATCACGGTATCCTATTGGGACGACTCAGGGAATTGGGGATGGGCGGCATGGTCTTGTGCTGGTTCACCTCCTTTCTTCAGGGCCGATCCCAATCGGTGGTGATAGGGAGTGAGAGGTACCATCCTCGGCCCCTCCTTTGTGGGGTGCCGCAGGGTTTGGTTCTCTCTCCGCTCAGTTTCAACATCTACTTGAAACCGCTGGGTGAGATCATCCGCCATCATGGGATGAGGTATCATCAATATGCTGATGATACGCAATTATACATCTCTATCCCAGGTGAGGTAAGTGATGCCATGACCGTCCTTTTGCGGTGCCTAGAGGCTGTAAGGGTCTGGATGGGGAACAACAGGCTTCAGCTGAACCCTGGTAAGATGGAGTGGCTGGGGGTTAATGGCTCCTCAATATTCGGGACTTTGTCATCTTTGGTGCTGGATGGGGTAGCACTACCCCAGACAGACTCAGTGCGTAATCTGGGGGTCCTCCTAGACTCATGGCTCCTGCTTGAAGAGGCTTCCTTTGAAGAGTATCCAAAGCTACAGCTGGTCCAGAATGCAGCCACGTGGGCTATTTTTGGAGCCCCAAGAAGGGCCC